CACTTGCTTCACAAACTGGAGTCAGCAGCAGGAGGCACTGGACCGCACAGGTCACTCCCATCCTGAATCAGGGGATTTCTGGTGTAGCTTGAGAATTTGCATTTCTGATGAGCTCCAGGCGGTGATGTTGCTGGGGCCTGTGCAGTGGCACTCCAGGTGGCACCCGTTTAAAAGCTGTGACCTCTGGGCAGCAGTATTCCTTCACTCTAAGGTGGCCAGATGCACCCAGGGAAGGCTGCCCTGAGCTGCGTGTAGAATTCCCACTCCAAAAGATCACCTCCAGTGAAGGTGAGAACATTCCACGTAGCTGGGCTACATTTAGAGCGCGGTTGGAAGCTCACGCAAGGTGAGGCCCTCAGGTACAGGGATGAACAAATTCTCTGGACACATGTGCAGGGCAAGTGTGGGGAAGGAAGATGCAGGCAGGGTAGAGACATAAGAATAGGGGGCAAGGGTGTGACTGGCTTGAGGAGCCAGAGTCCAGGCCAGTGGATGCAGGGTGGAGCCAGGCACATCATCCTGCCATCCCTGCAGCCCTCGTGCCTGGAACACTGTGGCCACCTCCATCCCTGCCTGTGCTGGCTGCCAGCTTCCCAAGTAAAGGGGACTCCTTCAGCTCATATGACCAAAAAAGGGCATCTTCTCGTCAGGAAGGTTGGCCTCACATTCCTCTTCCTCCCACCTGAGGATTCAGGCCCCTAGGGAAGTGGCTCTCCAAACACAAGGCTTTTTCTTGGCACACATACTCACACCCGGGTCAGACTGAGTAGGGGACTCACCCACCACTCTGTCCTGATGTCATCACCTGTCTAAATTGTGGGGACACTTTCTACCTGCCGCACATTTTATTTCTCAGAAACTCTCCGATTCTCCACCCCTCTGAGTCACAAAGAGGAAGCTCTGGAATCCCCGTGGGGTTGAACTGGGGTAAGGTGAGGTACAGACACTGATTTAGTCTTTATTTAGATATTCTTCCTAGTTTGTTCATCTGCCTTTTGGTGCTTGCATTAATTTTACTGTAAACTATTGTATTTAAATGTGATTTAGGGAGGTTGGGTGTCTCAGTGGTTAAAAAGGCTTGCTGCAAAATCATGAGGGTTGGAGGTCCATCCCCAGAATCCACATAAATGCCAAGTGGGCATGGCAGCACCCCTGTAAGTCCATTATCACAGTGTGAAGACAGGGTCCAGAACAAACCGGCTAGCAAGACTCTGGGCTTGGTTGAGAGATCTTGTCTCATTGAGGGAGACAGAAGAGCAATTAGGATGATTCCTGACATCAACCTCACATATGAACTCACACACGTGTGCCTACACGCATGCAGGACGTATATACACATGTGCACATGCCACACATGTAAATGGAGAAAAGTAAAATATGATTTGTCTTGTTTTCTGAGCTCTTTGGGCATCTGAGTGTCTCACCTCACCTGAACCCACAGGGTCAAAGCTGGGGTCAAAGCTTCTGATCTCACAAATTCTTGCCCTTCACCATGAAGCTCCTGGGTTGTGTGTGCACATGGGTGCCTGCCTGTGTGTATTCACCATGACCTGGGAAGCTCCTGGCTCGTGTGTGCACACGGGTGCCTGTGTGTACGTTCACAGACTGATTCTTTCCAAGGCAAACAACAGTGAGACAGTATGGCCTGGTGGAGAGGGTGGGGCCTGGGACTCTGACCTGTGTGACTGGGAGAACAGACTTCACTCTTCCTTACTGTGTGGAAGGCAAAGCCTCTGGGTCGAGCATGGGCTCTAATCCACAATGCCACCACTTTCTCATTGCATCCTTAGGTTTTTTTTTTCTTTTCTTCAAGTCTCCTGCCCCATGCCTGAACCCCCATCGTCTCCCAGCAGCAAATCTCCACTGACATTCTATCGGAAGGCTTCTTGGACTGTTTCCTTGGATGCTATGTGCCTCTTCTGGGCATGCTTCAAGGCTGTGACCAGATACTTCTGCTATCATGCAACAAGGCTGAGCTGCCTTCTCCAGTCAGGATGGTCAGCTCCAGTCACATCCAGTCATCAAGTGTACAGAATTTGGGGTCAGGGTCTAAAGTGCCAGCTTTCACATTCCATGACTACCCTTCAGCAGGCTAATTAACCTATCCATGCCTCAGTTTCCTTCTGTGTAAAGTGAGGAGAGTGGGGCACTGGCTTCCTAAGGCATTCTGATGACGAGTGAGCTACCCTTTGCAACTCCTTCAGGACCGGGCCTGGCATGTTTGTAAACAGGGCTGTTACCGAGGTAGGCATTGTTCTTCATTTAGTCATGTTAGACTGTGCCAACAGCTGGTACAAATATCTCTCTAATGTCAAGCATGTGACATGTGACATGACAAATGTTTAACGTTTGTTCTTGTAGCATTCCGGCATGGGGCTGCAGGAGGAGTCTTCCTTCCACACACTGACTGACATGCTCAGTTCCTCCACTCTATTTCTTTTAACAAAACATTTTTAGTTAAAAAAGTTATTTTATGTGTATGGGCGTTTTGCCTGAATGTATGTGCACCTCATGTGTGCATTGCCCATAGAGGTCAGGAGAGGGCGTCATACCCCTCAGGACTGAAGCTATAGACGATTGAGAGCTGCAATGAGGGTGTGAGCATTGAACCCAGATCACTTCCCAGCACCAGCGCTCCTAACTGTTGACCCATCTCTCCAGATACTCTACTTCACTTCTAACAGGTCACCAAGGATGCTGTGGACAAAATTCAAGGGGGTCCATGTCCTTAGAAACATGTCCTGAGATGGCAGTTCCCAAGCTAGTGCATATGAGAGAATGCTCTCAGGGACGAGGCTGTAAAAAACAGGTAGACAGGAAAGGAAGGGGCTGTACCAGGGCTGGGCTCAGCTTCGGACGTGTTTGAGCACAGGGGACTGTGGGGTGGGAACTCACCTTGGGGTTTTGATGGTCACAGAGGGAGTGGGGTGATGGCATCCAGGCTGCTGGAGGCTGTCTGGGGCTGGGGAAGTGGCACCTTCACTTTGAACACAGTAGCTTTGCTTGTTGCTGTTCTCTGGGGTAGCATGGAGTTATGGACAGCTGGCATTCACAGCAGTTAGGGCAGGTGTATTTGCTCCATGAAGGGACTGGGCCAGGTACCCAAAGTGTCTGTGTACATGTCAACTGAAGTTTGGTGTTTCCTTCCTTCTGGGACAGGCAGAAGACCATAAGAATGCTAGCTGGACTTGTGACTTTGTCTCTAACAGAAATCACAAGCTTCTTCTTTTCTTCTTCTTCTTCTTCTTCTTCTTCTTCTTCTTCTTCTTCTTCTTCGTGACACAAGTGCTAGGATTATAGATGTGAGCCACTACATCTAGCTATGCTCATTTATACTTTTAACTTGTGGTGATTAGTAGACCTGTTAGATATTTGTAGTGTTGGTGAAAAAGGATATGCGTTATCCTATTACGAATTTGTTCTTTTATGTGTTGTTCATTGTGCATCTATATATGGGTATATGCATAAGAATGCAGGTGCTCAACAGTCCAAAGAGGATGTGGAATCCCTTGAAGTTGGAGTCACCAGCAGTTCCTAGGTGCTAGGAACCATACATGTGTCGTCTGGAAGAGCTGCGCATGCTTTTAGCCGCTGAGCCATCACCCCAGCCTCACAGATTTGTTCTTTTAAGTATTTTATTAAGTGTGTCAATTCAGCTGTAGCTCTTCACAACCCCTCTAACCTTGTTAGAGCTCTCATCCAGTAGCTGATGGAAGCAGAAGCAGAGATCCACAGCTAAGCACTGAGCCCAACTCCTGGCATCAATTTGTAGAGAGGGAGGAGTGATGAGCAAAGGGGTCAAGACCAGACTGGAGAAACCCACAGAAACAGCTGACCTGAGCAAGTGGGAGCTCATGGACCCTAGTCTGACAGCTGGGGAACCTGCATAGGACTGAACCAGGCCCCCTGAACGTGGTGTCAGTTGAGGGGCTTGGGCAATCTATGGGGCCTCTGTCAGTGGAACCAGTATTTATCCTTAATGCACAAATGGGCATTGGGAGTCCATTACCTATGGAGGGATACTCTCTCAGCCTAGATACAGGGGGGAGGGCCTAGGTCCTGCCCCAATGATGTGACAGACTTTGATGATCCCCCATGGGAGGCCTCAATCTCTCTGAGGAGTGGGTGTGGGGTAGGTTGGGGAGATGGTGGGGGAAATGGGATAATGGGAGGGAGAGGGAACTGGGATTGTTATATAAAGTAAGATTGTTTTTAATTTTAATAAAAATTAATTTTAAAGCATTGTTGATATTATTATTATTAAGTGTTTATTTGCATGCACATCACAGGACAACTCTTAGGGGTTGGTTTTCTCCCTTCCATCTTTACATGGGTTCACAAGATTGAACTCTAGTCCAGGCTTGCTTGGCAAGTACCTTTACCTGCTGAGCTGTCTTGCCTGACTCTTGTTTTGTGTAATTAAAAATGTTCTGTCAGATGTGATGGTGCATGGCTTTAATTCCAGCCCTTGAGAGACAGAGGCAGGTGGATCTGTGGGAATTCGGGGCCATCCTGGTTTACACAGAAAGCTCCAGGTCACCCAGGGCTACAAGGCGAGGCTCTGTCTCAATAACAAATCAAAACGTCTGGAAAAGGAGTCCACAGGCTTCTCCAGTTAGCCAAAGGCAGGAGAGAGAATATACAACATGTATGAGACTAATCACCCTGTTCTGAGGTGATAGCTTCTGCATTCAGCCATCCATGGGGAAAAGGGCTTTATTGGTTAGACTTAGAAATAACATACATCAGGGCCTCCCAGAATGCACTGGGAAGAATGCAGTCATCTGACTATGCTTATCTGTAAGGGAGGCTGGGGAATACAGTCTATGTATACTTAGAAACGGAGGACTGGACTGGGGAATGCCCAGTAGTCTGGGCCAGGGGACTGTAATACTCATTGACATCCCAAATGAGAACCTCTGTCCAGGGTGATTCACTGTGTCTTACGGAGGATGGGCAGAGGGCTAGATTCTAAATCTCCCACCATATTGTTTCCTTAGGACAAGCCATGCCAAAGCCAAGGCTGAGGCATCGGAACAGGCTGCCCTGGCTGCCAACCACGAATCCAACATTGCCCGCACATTGGCCAAGGAGCTGGCCCCAGACTTCTACCAGCCAGGTAGGGGCAACCACGGGTGGAGTGGGCAGGGGAGTCCCAGGGAGGGTGACTTTCCTCACTTGCTACAAGGTGGAGATGCCTAAGTGGGGCTCTAAATACCTATGAGTTTTGGAAGCTGTGGGTGTGGTACAAACAGGAGATGGGGGATTCATGGGGGTGCACATCTCTACCTCTATGCAAGACTGGGGTGAGACAGCTGAGACTCCCAGTGCCCATTTTCTGGGAGTAAACTAAGTGCTTGTAAAGGCTGCACTGAGCTTGCAGTGGCCAAGGCTCCTGCCTACTGCACCTCACATAGAGAATGTGTTCTAACTGAGTGGTCAGATCAGGACTGTGGGTCTGACTTGCCACTGGGGGCTCATTCTTGAGTTCCTAATTTAGTGGGTCTAGGTGGAGCCAGTGAGTGACATGCCTAATGATTGGAGGAGCATCTAGAACTACCCTTTGAGAACCGGCACGGCACAGGTAGACCCGGGGCAGATGGATCAAGAAGAGGGGGCTGCAGTTTCAAAGGCACAAAAATGAGAGAGGGGCATGCAGGAAGCTAGATGCTACAACAGGCAACGAGGGTGAGGCTGGGGGAAGAGACTCGGGAAGGGGACACAGCTGCTTGGCAAAGCTGTGCCGGCTGCTGAGCGTGGAGACTGGGACTCTCCGCATCGGAGGGTTTTCAAGTGAGCAACACGCTTGGTGCATTGGAAACATCATTCTGGCTGCAGCTTGCCATCCAAAGCGCCATCCAGAGTGACATCTGTCTGTGATGCAGGGAGTGAGACTACTTTCTGGTCACAGTGTTCCCCCTGCTGGTCACAGGAAGCACAGCACTAGCTTCAGTCATTGCATCCATCGGTGTTGCAAGTAAACGTTCCAAAAGAGTAGGAAAGGGGTGATTCGGCCCGTTTTTTTTTTTCCCCCCAGACAAATGGATGGAAAGAGACCAGTTAATCGCATCATCTTGGCCCTTTGCTGTGTGGTGCTGGGCAAATGATTAGGGTCTCTTGGTCTTCTTTTCCTCTGTGAGACAGAGTTCATAATTTCACTCACCTCACAGAGTTATTAAAATCGATTACTTCCACCACAGCCTGATCTTCCGTGCAGTGAGTGGTGGCTCACATGGGTTACCCCTTCTGGCCCAGGACGGCCCAGCAAACCATGGGTTCGAAGCCTATCACTTTCTGTTGCCCCTGGCAGGTCCTGAGTATCAGAAGCGTCGGTTGCTCCAGGAGATCCTAGAGAACTCAGAGAGCCTGCTGGAGCCCCCGGAGCGGGGTGAAGGCACTGGCCTCCCCCAACGTCCTCGGGAGAGCCCACAGCTGCACGAGCGGGAGACCCCGCAGCCAGAGGAAGGACCCCCGTCTCCGGCCGGGACGCCCCCACAACCCAAGAGGCCCAGACCCGGAGGGTCCAAGGACGGCCTGCTGAGTCCGGGCGCCTGGAATGGCGATCCCGGCGGAGAGGGCAGCCGGCCGGTCACGCCATCCGATGGTGCTGGCCGTCGCAGCCCTGCGCGTCCACCCTCGGAGCACATGGCCATCGAGGCACTGCAGCCGCCGCCCGCGCCCTCGCGGGAGCCAGAGGTGGCGATGTACCGTGGCTACCACAGCTATGCGGTGCGCACGGGCCCTCCCGAGCCCCCGCCCTTGGAGGACGAGCCTGAGCTGGAGGTCTCCGGATCCATCTCGGCGCCCCCGTCCCCCGCCTCTGCCACTGCCCCAGAGGAGCAGCCTCCTGCTCCGCGAAGTCCGTTGTCTGCCACACCCGCCACTCTGGAGCCCAAACCCATCGTCCCTAAATCCGAGTCCAAGGCCAAGGCGCGTAAGACGGAGGCCCGAGGTCTGAGCAAGGTCAAGAAGAAGGGTCGTAAGGAGGTGGCACTGGCGGCAGAGGCCGAGGTGGAGGTGGAGGAGGTGAGGATGCGGACAGAGGCTAGCCTCTGAGATCCCTGGGGTTCCAGGCGGGACTGTGTGTGTGTGTGTGTGTGTGTGTGTGTGTGTGTGTGTGTGTGTGTGTGTGTACACGCGCATTCGCACGCGCGCGCGTCAGAGAGGTGACTTGAGGGACTGGAGGCAGGTCAGATGGGGACCATCTCTAACAGTAGTGGGGCACTGGGCAGAGGTGCAGCTGCAGGTGGGAGATTGAGCAATAGAGTGCCTCTGTGAGTCTGTGGTGTTTGGCCAGGGTACCAGCCACCTCTCTGTTTGGGATGCTGCAGGGAGGGCTTCCTGGGGGTGGAGGAAGATCCCAATAGCGCTTGAGTCTCTGGGTCTCTGTTGGAGTCCAGGAACCAAACACTGCAGCAGAGAGCAAAGCCAACAGTCAGGAATGCCAATGGCGATAGTTGCAGACTGCCCTCCATGTGGCTTGCTAGTGTCCTTTTGAGGTGCTGGAGGATTGGGTTAATTACTTCCAAGAACTCTCCCAGCTCTCACAGTCTGGTGCAGACCAGGGTGCAGGGGCCAACTGTGAACAAACCAGGATGCTTTTAGGAAGATCCTTCCAGAAGCTGCAGCTTCTCTGCCCAGCCTTGTAACCTGGCTGGGGATGTGGGGGTGTCTAGAGGTCCTGGGGACTCAGGCAGCCTTTCTTCATGCCTTCAGGTCCCCAACACTGTCCTCATCTGTATGGTGATCCTGCTGAACATTGGCCTGGCTATCCTATTTGTTCACCTTCTGACTTGACCCTCATCAACCAGGTATGGCCAGAGATTGAAGCCTGGGTGGGAGTGGTGGTGTTTGGTGCTTGGTACGGAGCATGATCTTGTAGCTAGGTAAAGCCCATCCATCAGTGTGCAGGCGTGATGTGCTTTGCATGGTGTGATGTACCTTGCATCCTCCGATATTGTGTGCTCATACTCAAATCGATCCCCGCCCTTTCTCTCCACTTTGCCCCACCCCTTTAGTTTCTTGCCCCTCCTCATGCCCTTAGTTTGTTCTGTTTTCCCCCCAATGGTAGGGGCCCTCACTGGTGTGAGAGCCTTCTTCCTGCTGGGACAACCCTAACAGCCTGAGCCTGAGTCTGGAGCTTGGCCATAGTGCATCTTGCCTTGCTCCCCCAAAGACCTCCTGCCTTGATCCCACCTTAGTGAGGCCAGGAAGTTTCTAGATAGCCCCAGAGGAGAGGAAATCCTTGTCCTGTCTCTGTGTAATAGCCAATGGCAGTGTTAGCCTTGTGGCTATAGCTCTGGAGTCCAGTGCTGAGCTCTGGAGGTTCTCTGTGTCATTGGACACCTTTTTTTTCAGGCACTGATGACTTTGGGGTCCAAAGACCAGGAGAAGCAACCCTGAAGACAGCAGGGAAGGGATAGACTCAGTGGGCCAGCAGGGAACAGTGTGGGTGGCCTGACTCTGATTCCCTTGCAAAGTAGAGGCCTGGTCCCTTCCCAGCTTGTGGCTCAGCCTTGGGTGCCATATCCCTCTTCTGACTGGTGTTGTCTCCCTTCAGAGCCAGGAGTCCCACTGAGGATGCCAGGACCCATCTTTCTGCAATGCCAAGCAGGTGTCCCAGGAGGACTGAACTATGGACCTGAAGCCTTGTTCCACCCACTCCATGGATATTTAAGGAGGCCTCCCTGTGAGCCCTGGGTGCTGTGTGCCTGAGGAAGAGAATGTCTAGGTACCCTCCAGGGCAAAGGATGCCCTGAGAGAAGATCCCTGGTCGTCCCTAGGCCCTTGACCTGCTCCTGAATCTATCCTCAGTCCTGCCTCGCCTTGCCCTGCCATCCTTCCCTGGGCTTTTGTGTGTTTTGAGAGATGCCACCTAAGCAAGATATTAATACAAATCTCTTCCTCCTATGCAACTACCAATACAGTACTCTGGTTGATGACTTGAGGCCACCCAGGAAGATGAGGGGCACAGAAGCCCCTTGGGTAGCGACAGTGTGAAGACCCCAGTGGGGTGGTGCAGTCCTTCCCAGTCTATATTGCTCCAAAGTTTACAGAGTTCTGAAGGGCAGTATAAGAAATGGAGGAACCCAGTTGAATATACCAGCATGCAATGCTCTGCATCCTCCCATCAGTCCAGTTGGCATCCTCTAGGATCAGTAGCAGGGGAGACCTGAACATCTAAGCCTTTGGCTGGGAAGTCACCTTCAGGAGTCTGGGCTATGGTGGGAAGAAGGCAAGGAATGTTAAGTGATGGCCCCTAATTTTGAGTGTGTCTGAGTCTGAGGCTGGAGTTCATTTGGGGTCACTAATGTGTCCTGGGTCATTGTATAGGAGCCCTAGGCCTGAGAGCTATAGTTACTGTAATGTTCTGGCTTATCTGCTGTGGGATCCATGTGTGGAAGCCCATGGAAGTCAAGAGCTACATCCCTGGTGCATATCCTCTGGCAGAGAGAGGCGGGAGACAAGCATTATCCAGGAAGACAGGAGTTAGTCTGGATTCTGGCTGGGGCAGCCTGTGCAATAATGAATTGTGCTTGGCAGAAGGTTTACTTGCATGCACCTCACTTAAAGACATTTTCACCACACTGCGTGTTTGGACCCTTGGGCTTGCTGGTGCAGCATGGCAGCCCAGGATTTGTGGTCCCCTATTCCCAGAAGGATGGAAGGAAATAATATCCAGGCCCCCCAAATTTAGGAGGCAATGGCATCCAAACTGAGTTGGAGAAAGCTGCTGACACACTCTGACTTCATTTCTTTGGACCTCCCGGACTTGGGCATGGAAGCCAGGCCTTCTCCTACAACAGACTTGAACATGGATATTGAGGGTCAACTTCCTTTTCTTCTCAGTTCATGAGCATCTTCTCCTTGAGTGTCATGCTAACTGTCCCCTGAACTGCTGGGGCTTGGTGACTTGGTTGAACTCATTTTTCTACAGAGAGGAGCCTTGGGATGTTCCTGTGCCAGCCAGTGTGAGCAGGACTTTGCCTCTGGTTGGGTTTTCCTAGACTCTAGAGAATGGGGATGGGTGGGTGGAGGTTACTCAGGGGTGACAGGCTCCAGGCCTTGGCTCTGAGGTCATTGCTCTACTCTGGGTCTGTCCAAGCTATCAGGGTTGTTTTAGGAGGTATGTATGGAATGGGATGGGTTAAGGATGCCAAATCTATGCCAAAAATAAATCTGCATCTTCTCACAGCTCCAGCTGTGTTGTAGTGTCTGCTTGTGGGTCCAGGATGAGGAGTAGGGGCTACTGGGTAGATGGGTGATGGTAGATCCAACTACATCACATCCTCTTTCTTAAGATGCTCCCATAAAGCACAGAGGGGCCTCAAATCTGAATAACAGTCTTTTCCCAAAAATTGCTCTTGTTAGCCTATGTCAGCAGCAAGAGCCTGCCTTTTGAGATGGAGGCTCTCTGGACTCCAGTCCTGGCCTAGACACTCTGTCTGGTGCCTCTGTTTATATTGGTGCATCTATAAAGTGGGGGCAACCCTGCCCACCTCCTGGGGTTACTATGAGCACCACATTAAGGACTGAAAGGGTCCAGAGGGTTGGCTCAGTGGGTAAAGCGCTGTGCAATCATGAGGACCTGTGTTTTGGATCAACAGAATTTACACAGAAGTGGAAGACAGCAACATGCCTGTAAAGCCATCTCTTGGGGCTTGCTGGCCAGTTGGCTTAGCTGCAATGGTACACTCCAGGTTGAATGAGAGGCTCTGTCTCAAAAAATATAGTGGAGAGGCAATTGAGGTAGACATTTTTCTGTCAACCCCTGGCATCTATCATCCATGTGTACCCACAAGGCAAGTGATCACACAGCACATGCTCTCTCTCTCTCTCTCTCTCTCTCTCTCTCTTTCACTCTCACTCTCTCTCTCTCTCTCTCTCTCTCTCACACACACACACACACACTTATATAAGCCGAGCTTATCTCATTATTCTCACGGTGTTATACGTGGTAACAGTCTCTTGCATTTTTGATGAAGGGACCCCAGGAACCCCAAAGTGGGGAGGTGACTTGAACATCAGCAAACAGTCACAGACTGCTCATTGGGAGGATCTAGGGCCATCTCACCCTCTACAGTGGCTGGAGGAAGAGGTGGGCTTACATTAGCTTGACCACAGCAGGTTCTTAGAGACACAAGGGTCTCTGGCTTGGTTGGGAACAAGCAATGCCCATTAAGGTTCCCTCACAGCCAGGGAGACCTCAAGAGGACAGTCTGTCACTGTCTAAGCTATGCCATATGTCATCAGGACTTCTGATCATCTAGCACTGCTGCTGACTGACAATGTGTCCAGAGGCTGCCTTCGATCCTTTCTTTGTCCGACTTCACCGCAGAGAGCAGCTCCTCCCTACAGCCTTCCTCCAAGGAGAGCTGCTTTGAATCACATGGGTAGTTTCTGGATGGTGAAGAGGCTGTGAAAACACTATGGTTTCCCATGATACCCAAGAAGAAGGGTGGCTGTGGGTTACCCCAGAAGGGTCAGTACAAGTGGAAATAAGGACAAAATTGGCTTAACCTGCAAAGGCTTTGATAAAATTCTCAGAGGGGAAGGGAATGGGTACCCGGCCAGTGGCCATTTGGTCTTCAGACTGGCTGGGGTTTCTGAGAATTGGCTGCTGGAATCTTGGAGACAGAGTCAGGTAGGTATGGTCAGAAGGGCACCTCCTAGTGGCTCAGGTACAGAACACAGCCTGGTGTCTTTTCATTCAGTCTTGGTCCTGGCCCATCCCCTGACAAATGGCCCTGGAGTCATTTGAGGCATTTTATAAGGTGGAGAATAATGGACACTGATAAGGACTGTGATAACTGACCAGGCCCTGGGAACAGAGAAGGGAGGGACTGGGAACCACACAGGCCACATTTGGGATTTGTAGCAAGTAATTTCATCACCGCTGAGGGACTGACAGAACCTGGCTATGTCGTGAGACACCAGACCAGTGATGACCTTTGGAAGTACCAAGCTTGAGACTTATATGGTAACCTGCCTTGCACATGTGTAAATAATAATAATAATAAACAATACATGAATGGTAAAATGAAGCCCTTAAATGCATGCAGGAGGGGCCTTGTTTTCGGGAGTAAATCCTGACTGTGTCTGTGGCCTGGGATACCTCCTAACTCTTCTCTGCCTGTTTTCTCCACCCCTTGGAGGAGCTGGCACTTACTAGGCCTTCACTCCCTCTCCTGGGGCAGAAGAGTAAGTAAGTAGCAGCATGGCTCAGCTCACACATCTACAGTCAGGTTCCTGCTGCAGCTCCTTGACAACCTTCCTTCTCTGGGGTAGGGATGTGTCGGTCTGCAGATGAGTGAAGTACTTCTAATGATACCAGCCATGAGAGCCATGCAGTAACTCCACAGTGTGGACACCAACCCCTTGATTTTAAAGATGAGGAAAGATGGGGTGAGTGGTCCAGATACCTCAGAATTGGTGGGGTGGGAGGTAAAGCTGGAACCAAAATGAGAGCCTATATCCATTCTACTTAACCATTCAGCCTCACTGGACCAAGGAGTGAGCTCCATTGCTGGAGAGAAATGTGGGTACGTGCGTGCGTGCGTGTGTGTGTGTGTGTGTGTGAGATCGACTGAAAAGGCATAACACAATGGTGCTTTAGGAAGAAGAAGGGAAGCTGGGCATTGGTGGTGCATGTCTTTAGTCCCAGCACTTGGGAGACAGAGGCAGGCGGATCTCTGTGAGTTGGAGGCCAGTCTGGTCTACAAAGCTAGTTCCCAGGCAGTCTCCAAAAGCAATACAGAGAAACCCTGTCTTGAAAAACAAAACAAAACAAAACAAAACAAAACAAAACAAAACAGAAGAAGAAGGGAGGAGGGAGCTGGCGGTGGTGGCGCACACCTTTAATCCCAGCACTTGGGAAGCAGAAGCAAGTAGACTTCTATGAATTTGAGGCCAGCCGGGTGGGTCTACAGAGTGAGTTCCAGAACAGTCACAGCTGTTACACAGAGAAACCTTGTCTAGAAAAAAAAAAAATAAGAAAAGAAGAAAAGAAAAAGAAAAAGGAAGAAAAGGATAAAAAAGAAAGAAGGAGGGAGGGACCCTGTTATGGTTTGGCTGTGTTCTGTAACACCCCCCCCCCCACCCCGCACCTGCAGGGTCCCTATATTGGATCCACATGCCAGGGACGTGGCACTGTAAGGTACAGTGGGTTCATGTGGGAGGTGCTAAGGACTTTGGGGAAGCTGCCTTTGGGATTAAGGATTAAGTAAGGAAGGTTTTGTAAGGCCCTGAGCTCCCGTAAGAGGGAGTGATTACAAGAGCAAGACCAGCCTGGCATGGCTGTCTGGGCTTCCCTTGTGACACAGCCATTCCTTTGTTTGCCTTCCCTGTGACACCGTTCCCGGCCAGGTCCTCACCGGTCCCTCCTGTTTTGGAGTTAGGATGGCAAAAGTTTTGAGCTACATAGAATGCTCTTCTTTAAAAAGTCAATCCACCTCAGTATCTCATTATGGAAGGCACGAGAATCTGAACTAGCTTGAGGTGCCTCAAAAAGCTTGAAGAAACTAGACATGGTTGTACGTGACTGCAACCCTAGCACTTGGGAGGTAGACAGGGAGGCTCACAAGTTCCAGGCTAGACGGGCTTTATAAAGAAACCTGTCTCAAAAGCAAACTAACAAAAAGCAAAACAAAAAACAAACAGAATCCCACCAAAAATAAGGAAAGGAGGGAAAGGGACAGAAAAAGAAACATGCTCTTTTCATCTTGGGGCTGTGGGTTCAGTAAAGAGCAAGGGGGCAAATCCCCAGGGTACCTTCAAATCAGACATGGGTCACAAGTTTGGAGTTGCTGGGGTCACTGTCACTTCAGACTAGTTGGTCTGGCTCAGGTGACGGACTGGACAACAGCAGGAAACAGCACCTAGGTTGCAGAGTTCTCTGTCCTGTCAGACATCGGACAAGACGATCCTGGCAGATGTAGACAAGACGATCCACAGCAGCCCAGCCCTGGCTAGCGCCAGCTACCTGTGGTGGCATAATCTTAAAGTGTGGCTTAGCTGTGGTAACACGATGACCACGTAGTCAGCCCCAGGGGACTGCAGAATAGAGAGACTTGAGAGATGCAAGGTCCTCTCTCTCTCTCTCTCTCTCTCTCTCTCATCTGTGTGTACTTGATATGCATGCTATCGCATGCACTCTGAGGTCACAACCTCTGGGAGTCCATTTCCTTGCTCTTCTCAAAGCTGGGGTCTTGGGAGGGCTTTGTAGCCAACAATGACATGGAACTTCTGCTCCTTTAGCTTCTGCTTCCTCCATGCTGTGATTACAGGCATGAGCCACCACACTTGGTATTCACAGTGCTGGGGATTGGATGGGGTGGGGTGGGGTGGGGCTTGTGCAGGTTCGGCAAGCTTTCTACCAACTGAAGGACATTTCCTGTTTGATCCTGCCCCTAGTTGCTCATTGGATGTTTCCCGGCCTATATGAAGAGTTGGTGCCTGGCATGAATGTTGCCTCTACAACCTTTTGCATTAAAGACAGTTTTCTATAACACTGGGGAACTGTAGTAGTTGACACTGAACTCACACTGGCTGTAGATGAAGGGCAGGCAACGCAGACAGCGAGAACCTTGGGGTAGAGGTGTGACCATAAGAAAACAGTTGGACTAGAGAGATGGCTCAGCGGTTAAGAGCATGGGTCATTCTTCCAGAGGACCTGGGTTCAATTTCCAGCACCCACATAGCAGCTCACAATTGTCTGTAACTCCAGTTGCAAGGGATCCAACATCCTCACAGGGACATATATGCAAGCCAAACACCAATGCACATAAAATAAAAGCAAATTATTTAAGATAAAAAGGAAAATGTCACTTCCATCTCCAGAGTGTTAGCCATTGGAAAGTTTATTCAGTGGTAGCCCACTGACCCACCTCCAAGGCATCCTCAACAGTTGCTAATGACTTTCCCTTCTGTCCCACTCCGCACTCCAGTTTTTGTAAAGACATTTGGGACATCTCAGAATTTCTCTGCATACAGGCCCTGGGAGGTCTGTAGGGGAGCTGGAAAGATGCCAGACAACAAGTCATGTGGGCATCTTTCCCCATTTGCCATGTGCCTCTGGCCAGCGCCTGCATGGCTCTTGAGTCACCCCAGTCTCCAGAAGCCCACAGACTAGTTGAGTAGTCTCTGGGAAGGAGGGCAGTTGGTGGCTCAGTCTGGCTGTTGAAACGTGCTGCTGA